AGACCTGTGTGTTGGCTGATGCTGCGCTGTCTTGTGTCTATCTTGACTGCTCACTTGAGTCCAGCCAGAACAATATTTGGTATAAAAAGAGGGGCAGCTCATCATTTCTGTTATTAGAAGTGTCAATACAGGAAAAACACACACATTATTACACAATGACGGGTTTGGTGAGGCAGCCGTCAAACTTACTGTACGCACTCAATTCCTTTTCGATATGTCTTCATAAACAGAGGCTTTCATCCTAAAGTCCTGTTATAAGAGTTTTGTACAAATCCTTATTCCAGGTTCGTTATATGATGAGCGGACAGTGGACGCGTTAAATTATTTGTTTTTCACGGTTTAGTCTCGTTTATTGCAAAAAAGAGAGCTGGAGACAAATAGAGCTGTGTAAACATCAATGAAGCGTCGCTGTTTTGTGGTTTTGTCTCGTGCCTCTTCTCGCGCTGGTATTCACGAGCACGCTTTTGTTTCTTCGGTCTGTTTCACAGACGAAAAAAAACGACCGCAAACATATTCGTGAAGTGCCATCTCAAATCCTTGTGTTGAGTGATTTTTATTCGTCTTAAGTCCTTTTTGTTTTGGTGTTCTCATCTACGGAAGAAAACTGAAATATTTTCCTCAGCAGCATCAGCGCACTTGTCCGACTGCATCCCATAGTTGCATCCTGGTCTTCATCTGATGGATAGAGGGAGCTGTTTTACCTTCATGTGCGCACAGTCACAGTGCTTTACCTGAAGGGCTCAGAATGATCACTGAACAGTGTTGCATGCTCCTTCATTCTCTTTACACTGACAAGCTCTTAAAAGACGTTAGTTACACTATTTTAAACAAGTTACTAATAGGGTAATGATGCATGAGACTGCTGTTCGTTATAATAATGAGTAATTTATGCCACATAATGATTTGGGCTATGAAAATGTAAGTTTATAAAAAAGTATCCACACTCTTATGGCAAAATACATAATAGCCTAATAATCTTGTAATATAAACTTGAATACTGTTGAATAAATATGTCCCCTGATCTTGTTTGATACCATATGTGACACTGGACCACAAAACCAGTCATAAGGGTCAATTTTGTATGGTTTGTTAGGATAGGAAAATATCTGTCCAAGATACAACTATTTGAAAATCTGGGGCCCGTACACAACATTATAATATTATTTTCAAATTAATTTATAAATTATTATTATTTTAAATGATGTCCCCGGATTAGTAGTACCATATTACTCTTGTAATAAGGTAGCAGTGGCTGGGATAGATTTTAAATATCAGTTACACTTAAAAAGATGCAATCTAATCCTGTTTACATGAAATAAACCTGCTCCCGAGCAGGTTTAAGTTTACGGACCTGTTGCTATGACACCAAGTCCAGGATGAGCTTCGAAGAACCAAAGAATCCAAGATCATGCCAAATCATCAACAATCAAATCCAGCTAACTGAGTTAGCGACGTACGAAGAACGGGCCCCTGGACTCTGAGGGCGCAAAAAAATCAAAATATTGGGAAAATTGTCTTTAAATTTGTCCAAATCAAGTTATTAATGCATTGTTATTATAATGCATATTACTAATCAAAAATTAAGTTTTGATATATTTATAGTAGGAAATTTACGAAATATCTTCATGGAGCATAAAAGAAAAATCGATCATTTTGACCCACACAATGTATTGCTGGCTATTGCTACAAATATACCCATGTGACTTATAACTGGTTTTGTGGTCCAGGGTCACATATTACGTTTTTTTAGAATATGAATGTAACTTAATAATACGTCAAAAATCTCAATGCTTGGATTAGAAATTGAGTTTAAATGATGCAAATCATCCTTTTTGTAATTACATCAAATTCACCATATTGATTATATTACTAAACTATGAATAAAAATGCCTGCATATATTTGTGGTATTTAATGTGTTTGAATAAAATTGCATTTTTTACATAATTTTGCAAAACTTCCATCATCTGTAAAATTGGACTGCTCCAAAACATTTTAGACATTGTAATTATGTTAATCGTATAAAAAAACATATAGTGAAAATATTAATTGTAAGACCCTACTACTAGCATTACTAGAGTTTTATTTTTTATATTAGCATTTATATAAAGGTGTGTGTGTGTGTATATATATATATATATATATATATATAAAGGTATTATATATAGTATTTATTATAGATTTATATATAAGGTATTTATATAGATTTATATACATCTTTTTATATGTTTAAGTAAGTTTTAGGTAGTATGTGGGCATGATGATATTTACAGCAGTTTCTGTTTTGAACCATGCCTAAAACACTAGCAGAAGAGTCTATTATTAAAGGCTCATGGAGGAGGGCTGGATAACAGTTTGGTCTGAATGAAGCATCCTTTAGCAAAACCCTGAGTATGTTTGGATTAAAGGTGCTCCATTTGGAGATAATTCTTTCAGGCACCTAACCTTTGAAAACTGACGCCTGCCTTGCCTTCCTTATTTTGGATGCTGAAACACCAGTGGTCTCGATAAACATGTCTTTGAACAGATAACCTCAGGCACAAAGCAGGAGGAGAAAGAGAGGTATGTGAAATCTCAACTTCTCCAAGTGTGTGGTTTGAGTGCTAATGTTCAGCTTGTAAGGGTTATAAACCCTGAGAGTTGTCTGTCTCAGTTCAAAGGAGCTGATAAAAATCAAAGCTGAAAATGAATTGACAAGATTTTTTTCCCCCAGTCCTGCTGCTTGATATATTTGTCTGCTATCTTTCAACCCGATCTAAAAATACAAATAAATAAATAAAATAAAGTTTTCTTTTTTTCTTCAGATCAAACATAGTTAAAGGCCAGGGAAAGTCATACTGGCTGTGGCTAAATAGATCAGAGTGTGGTCCGATATCCTTTGTAGCATGAAGTGTTGCATTGCAGAACTCAGCACAGATGAGCGCATCAATACCTGCTCAATTATGATGATGAGTGATGTCATCCTTTTTTTTTTTTTGCATCTGCTCTTTCTGTCAGCCCCTCTCATGTAGGCCTATGGCACTCACAATCTGCCAAGGCGTGGCATCCATCACCCAGACCTGTGTCACCACATGCTGTCAGTATCCTCTGCGAGCAGGAAACAAACATGAAAGATCCTCAAATTACAGGTAGTCTGATGATGCTAGCAAATCTCACTGAAGGTTGTATCTCTGCTGTGTTCTCAATGGGAAGGAAATCTAATCCATTGCTGTTCCTACGCTGTTGTTCACTAGAAGACTTTTCCATTACAAAATAAAGATGAAGAATAATAAGATGGATTATAATGTTGTTGAACTTTTGCTGAGAATAAGGAACTAAAACGTGGTGAATGATGGCGAATCAGCGAGGATCTATTGTAATCATTAAACAAACGATGTATTTACAGAGCCCTCTTGTGGTCACACGGAGCATTCCCGTAATTTGTTGTGTATTGTGTATTTCGAAATAATTCTACACACTCCAAGGAAGATTAGAAAACTTCTATTTATGCAAATCTAATTCAAACATAGAATAACAAAGTAAATAGGTATAGCATAATTTTACTATATACAGACGGAATAAAACCAAAGCCTTTTGGTTGGAGTTCTCAAAATTCCTTAAAAGGGAATGTACACGGTCCATAACTCAAATACTGCACTGAACTTTTTTTTTTTGAATTTCAAACAGATAAACATGACATTGCAGAGGCATCTGACAGAGTCCACACTGTAATAGAATGTAAAACCATCAATGAAAAAAAGGGGCTTAGATAACTGGTATGTAATTAATGTATAATTATTTATGTTTAGAATACTTTTGTTCACTGATTCCCAGCTATTCTGTTTTAGATTAAAAAAATTTTTTGTAGTTTTTGTCCTGGTTTACATATGACGAGAAACATGGTTTGGCAAAACAATTCACATATAGCGTCAAAGCTGAATCGGTTAAACCTGTTGAAATTGTAAACCTGAAGCACTTCCTGGGCACAGCCTTCTAAGACCAGTTGACCGTTTACAAAAAGCAAGCATATGCTAGATAAGACCATCAGAAAGCAAATCTGACATTTAAGTCATTTATGTTGCAAATACAAAATCCTATAAGCACTAAAATACAATACTCTGAAAAGCTAAATATACAAAATGTTCACACAAACAAAAAACAAGTACAAATACCAAATGTACAGAAAGTTGTGTTTAGAAACAACCAGAAAAGTATTGCTGAATCTTATTAAAGGCCATGTTTAATATTGCCATCAGCTGGGAAGTTAAATCGCAAAGACACTGCAGCCGTCTCAATGAAACTGTGCCAAATCATTTTGAGATGAACATACTCTAACAGACTGCTGCACATTCCATTAAACTATTGTGTGGTGTTTTCTATCAGAATAATAAATATTGGCTTGTGGACACTGCAAAATTGGCATCATACCATAAAGCTGGTATCAACAAACAATTCACATCACAAACCATTCAAATTACCACAGACTACAAGCATATAACTCTCTACTTTCTTATCAGAAAGGATAAGCTACTGTATTATTTAACATGGAGTGGTTTGTGATATTAACAAATAATTGCAATATTCTGTCGAGCCATCCCTAGTGAGAAATAAAAACACGAAAATGTATTTGAAAAACATTTCATTCCAAGTATACTTACAAATACATTTACATATTTATATACTTAATAAAAAATACCCGGCAGTATAATTTTAGTATACTAATTTGGAACAACTAATTTTGTACTTAATGCACTTTAAGCGTGCAGAAGTAGTGCCGAAGCCCAACTAAAGATATACTGAAGTATATTTGATTGTGCTAAAGTGCAACTATTATATTCTAAAGTATAGTTCAGGTACACTTTGAATATGTATTTAAAGACCGATATTATTCAAAGATCATACAATCCTCATAAATAGTGATATTTTAGGCTTAATATTAAGAAATGTGCATTGTACACAAGTAGTACTCCAAATAAAATTTAATTATAATTTTAATATCAGTAAGTCTCGAGCGATATGTCAATAAATATGTTAACTATACTTAGTATGAAATAAATGTATTTTAAATATATTAAGTTTTTACTAGGGATAGCATATTAACGAAGGGTTGATTTTGAATGTTGAAAATCACTGTAGTGAAATCAGTCATATTGCAGAGCGTGGTTCCGACCTTTTCATTACAGCTTTCACCATTTCATTAAATTTGAGCCCAGAAATTGCAAAGACATCGGCGGTGTTGTGGTGTAATTGAGTGGCAGTTCTGTACAAACCCAGAAAATGTGAGAGAAAAGTTGGAAGGCAGTTGTTCTTAAAACAATTGGCTATATGCCGAGTTGTGTATTAAGCAGTGAGCCAGCTCACTTTTGATATGAAGCTTTTATCTCTGTCATATGTGCCAGCTGCGATGTTTGTGCAAATGCATCACAAAGTGAGTTCAACCAGAGCAAACTTGAGTTGCTGAAAAGACAAATGCTGAAAAATCAATAATGCTCTCCACAGGATCACTGGCAAAGCACTTGAATAAAAGTCAGTTGGCAGCTTAAAATGTCTCTGATTTGGGCAGGTGTTGGCTGGAATGAGGCGGGTGCTGGAACAGAGGGTCTGAATGGACTGTGGGGATTCGTTTGGCAGGTAACTGTGACAGCTCACAGGCTGTTGAGGAGATCTTAGGTGAGAGTCTTTCTGAAAAATTGTCCATATTCTGACTTTCATCATCCCCTACCTGTCCCTCATACTTTTCAGAACTGGAAACGCCAGAAGGCTGCATTGAAACAGATTCGAAATTGTCTGAGGGTAAATCACTCGCCACACTGCCCCCTGCTGTCTCTGAAGTGTCCTGCTCCAAGTTCTGAGATGCTTGTGAAAGTTTTTTCTCATCCACATTTGAAGGTGCAGTAAGGTTGCACAGCTCCGGTTGGTTTTGAGTCTCATTAAGCTCAGGTACAGGAGGTTCGTATGGAGGAGGCCATTCCCCGCCGTCCTCAGGGGCTCCTATCATTCCGTCAGGTGTGAGGGGAATCTGGCTGTGCACTAGAACGGGGTCCGGTGAGGGGAGGGGAGACATGCTGCCAGTCCCTCCATCGTTGTAAGGCTTCTTTTCCTGTGAAGGGCTGTCATCCAGCATGATGGACTCCTGCTGTAGAGAGATGTGCAGAGAGGCAGGTGGCCGTTTGATGAGCTGGGCTTTGTTGGGTGTATCTTCTGAAGGGCTCGGTTTGGGCCGTTTGACTGGCGTTAGAACAACGGGCAGCTCCAGGCCCAGAGGTTTTCGAGGAAACTCATCAGGCTTAGCTGTGAATACAGAAATAATGAATGAGAGTGGACTGAAAATGTAGGTGACCTACATGAACTCATTAGCTGTGGCCAAAAATATATCATTTATGCTGTGAGGTAGATAGAGCACTGCATGTTTTCATATACAGTATGAATAATGAAATGAGAATTTTACTGTTAAAATGATCAACAGCAACTATAATTGGGTCATTCTATGAAACAGGTGCTCTTTGGACTGGGTTTTAGAAATCATTTCTGTACAAGTTTATTAGACAAATGTGCTAAAGTGCTAATAAATTGCATTTTTCCATCACAAGCAAAATAATTGCATTTTAATAGATGTTGATATAGTTTGTTCATCTCTTCAGAAAGGTAACTACAGTTAATTTGACACTTGTTATATAATAATAATAATAATAATAATAATAATGTTCATTAGAAAGAGAATTTAATCTAATTTAAATTACATATGTAAGAAGTCTCTCATGTTCACAAAATTATTTGATAAATATACCATAATAGTAAAATTGAGAATTAATATAATTTTAAAACATTTAAAGTAGTATTTTAATATGTAATTTATGTGATGCAAAGCTGAATTTTTAGCAGCCATTACTCCAGTCTCACATGATTTTTCAGAAATCATTTTAATCTGCTGATTTGGTGCTTAAGAAACCTTGCATACTATTAACAGTTGTGCCAATTTGTTTTTTTTTTTGGGAAACCATAATTTCTCTTTTTTTTTTTCAGGATTCCTACACTCAAAAATGTGGGGTTCTTTTTTTTTTTTTACACAAATGCTGGGTTTAGCCTCTTGGGTCATTTTATTTGGTTGTTTTTATTATTTTTACCCAGGTGCTGTTTTTTTTTTATTTTTTAACCCAAATGCTGGGTTCAGCTTGTTGGGTCATTTTATTGGGTTATTTTTTATATTTTTTACCCAGGTGCTGGGTAGGTTTTCTGTAACTAAGTTGCTGGGTCATTTTTAACGCTGGGTTGATATTTTTTTCTACGCAACTGCTGGATTGAGCCTGTCTCTGACGAAACAACCCAGCTGATGAGTTACAATCAGAGCATAGGCTTTTTGAGTCCTCTACAGGAGAGAGCAGTTCTCAGCACCACCGCCGATTTGGTGCACTTCTTCAGTGAAATAAAGGTTTGTATACATTTTCATATGTGTATAATATTATATATATATATATATATTTAATTTATAAAGTCTTTACTGTGCTGTAAATTATCGTTTTACGCAATGCAACGTAAGGACGAGGTGTCAGTTAGCTGCATCGGCAGCGGTCGTTTCGCACTGGAAACGCCTTTTGCTTTGCATAACAAATGGATTTTATTCAATAACCAAGCATGTGTTCGGTCCAATATTTACCCAGCACTCAGGGTTGCCAGGTTTTCACAGCAAAACCCGCCCAATTTCTACTCAAAACTAGCCCAAAACTAACCCAATCGCGTTTCGAGGGAGGGCCCCCAGTAAAAAAAAATAATAATAAATAAAAAAATAAATAAAAATCGCATTCCAGGAGGTAAAATACATGTATTTTGGCAGGGTTCCCCTGGTAAAATTCGCACTCCTGGGCTAATTATCATGTTATTGGGGTCACTTCAACCCGCGGACATGAAAAAAAAAAACCCACGGCCTGTTAAAGGAGACATATTATGCCCCTTTTTACAATATGTAATACAAGTCTCTGGAAGGGGCGGTAATATTATAATGAGATCCCTTTGCCACGTCACCAAGGGAGCGAAATCAGACGCGCTGGTTTTCTCAGACGCTTGCAGAAAAAGGCTTCACAAAACAAAGTTACTGGGTTAGCCTTTTTCACGTTTCCTTGGTTGGTAGATGCACCAGGGACCTGATTATAGCACTTAAAACTTGGAAAAGTCAGATTTTCATGATATGTCACCTTTAAAGTAGCCCAATTCCGCGGGAAAAGTTTGGATGTTTTTAACCCAGCATTTTTTAGAGTGTAGATGAATAGAAAGGTCAAAAGAACAGCATGTATTAAAAATTAAAATATTTTGTAACATTATATGAATGTGTCCTTATTGAATAAAAGTATTTCTTAAAAAAAATAGAAAAAAACCTTACTGAAATTAAATGTCAAATACATATTTTTTAAGTCATGTCATATGCATATGAGGGATACAAACGGAGTCCGTTTCATAGAACGACTCAGTGACATATCCTAATTGATTAAAGCATTCGAAAAACACCACAATGATACTGTATCTAACTGCATGAAGCTATAGGATTAAGAAAACGGCTGAACCTGGTGGTGGGAGGTCAAGCTTCATTTTGCGAAGTTCAGACATGGAAATTTTAAGCTGCTCTATGACAAGGTCATCGTGGAGGTAGATGGACTCTCCAATCTTCTCCTGCAGGAACTCTCTCAGGTCCTCCAGAGACATCTTAAGCAATCGTTCTGAACATGATTAACTTCAGTTAGCCATTTTTCACAGAAGAATCTGCAGTCAATAGATTTCTATAATGTGCTGATAATTTATATGAAGGCAATCAGATGTATTAGCATGCACTATGAGTTTGTTACTGGAGTTTGTTTTATAGATTTTTGGATTAAAATATTGTTAATTTCAGTATTGTTAAAAAAAAAAAAAATGAACTCACTTTTATGGAGCTGAAGGATGGTGTAAGCCATAGCTGTCAGAACTTTCTCACCCTCAAGGATGAAGATGTCCCACAGACGTAAGGTCAAAGTGAATGGGGTCTGAAAATAGTAACAACTTTGTAGATAATCTAAGACCGACATTTCTGCACAAAGGTCCTCATAGCATAATGGAAAACATAAATGTGTAGAATATTTCATTTTAAACTGAGGCCTCTGCTGGTCTAAATCTAATCTGCCTCAGCAAGCTGCCAGTCCACAAGCACAGCTCTGAAACCGAGCTGTACTGGATTCTGCAGCGCTGACAGTGTCTGCTCTCTTTCCTCTTCCAGCAAACCCACAGGATTGTGTGTATACGGAGAGTAAACATTGAAACACCCTTGTCTGCCTGCTAATTGCACACTGCTCCCTCTATCATGAGGCCCTGACAAAGAAAGAGGAAGAAGCACTTCAGCCGCTTTCTGTCAGTTTCTTAAAGCCTAATTCCTCTTCACAAAGTCCACCAACCTCAATCTACATTGCCATGCTTTATAGTGTTTTAATGTGGCTGCTTATTAGCCATTTTCAAATGAGACCATGTTACGTACAGTATATCATGGGTCTGTTCTGAACCTAGTTTTTTTTGGTCAAATTTAGGGCTACTAAAATAAGTTGGATGTCAGAAACTAGCGATTAGAAACTTAGGAAAGTGGTGCACTGTGCCAAACATTGACCAATAACAATCTGTTTGGCGCCCATTAATTATGGTCACTGTACCTAAACATTTTTCCTAATGTAACCAAATGCCTTGTCCAAATACCCACACTTGCGGTCTTTGCACTTGACCACTTGACTACTTCTATGACGTATTTCCTGTATTTGGTGAAGTGTTTTCATTACCTGATGGGACACACTTATAGTGTTATAAAAAGGCAAATGTTTACAGAGCTTTATTTTTATTTTCAATACTTTGCATTTTAAAATCAACTTCTAAATGTCTGTTCAGTAGTCCCTATAACAGATGACAATTTAATTTTGTGGTGCTTCTAGTGATAAAAAGAAGTTGCAAATGTTGTACAAAACAATTATCATTTGCACCAATAAAACATGCAACTCTTTGTTTTACTACCAAATTATATGTAATATCTAATTATTATTAATATTTGACATACATTGGAAAGGTTTCCGTGACCTCTCACAAGATCTCGGCAAAGTCTCACTTCCTGTCGCGCGCACGTGCTCTCAAGTGGCCAAGACCGCAAGTGTGGGTATTTGGACAAGGCAAAAGTGTGTTCATCTGAGTGTGCTTGTTTAACTCTATTTTAGGGTGCTGCTTTATTTTTGGGCAGCATCATGTCCCCATAAATCTATCACTTTTTACTATTTTTTTATAGATTTTAATGTTTAACCCTTAACCTAGACCTTTACTATTACAATATGAGTATCTATTATAAAAAGATCAATTATGCATTTACTTCTGATGATGATCTAAAAATAGGTCAAGTAAACCTAAATAATTTCAGTTTATATTATATATTATGAAATAAAAAGATTCAACATATGTAATTATATTACTATGTGTGATGTCATTTTGAATGATTTTGAGCCAGTGGACATGTATACGTACATAATTTGCTAATTAAAGCATTTTCATATAATAACTAAATAACAGTTTTCATTTTTGGATGAGCTATATATCTAGTCCATTTAAATAAACTAGTGATAGTGTGAAAAAAAAAATAGTTTTTTTAAGAGGACCGGAGACCATAATCGTGTAATAATTTATTTTATTATGATATGAAACGTCCAATTTTTCTTTCAATAATGTTTTTTAAAGTTTTGCAAGAATTTCGTGATACTAAAAAAAATATTAGTTGCCATAGCAATTGATTTTAAAAGTAGGATGGCTCACTTTTTATAAGATGACTGAAAATTTTACTTGAATTCCTATTCCTAATTCTTACTTTTGGAAACCTAATTGTTTTATCATTACTGTTATTATTATTATTATTATTATTATTATTATTATTATTATTATTATTATTATTATTATTATTATTATTATTATTATTATTATTATTATTATTATTATTATTATTATTATTATTATTATTATTTCTAGAAGTAGTCATTTTGATGAGTCAATAGAAAAAAGATAACCACACAGAATAAATTACACATTATTAAATAAAAAAATAAAAAAAGTGTCCCACAGGAACCTCTACCTCCGCCAGCAGGACCTAAATTTCAGACACAGTAAAGTTTTTTTTTTAATTTGTGCTCATCATTCTCAAGCATAGAAATTCAGATATTGGTGTGTGCTCTTTTATATGGTAATGATATTAATTAGGGGGCGTTTACAAGGCGGAGATCTGACACCAGTCAGCTGCGCACAATTTCAAGATCATTTGC